GAATCTCTTCATCATGTACTTTCATTCGAAATGAAGGTCCCCCTAACAATATTATCTCAGGAGATTCATCCAAACCAAGTTTCTCTTCGTATCTGCAATTAATAAGTTTACAGGCGGAGTGGCAAACATTGAAGAATTAATGCTCAATAAATACCGTCGACAGTCATGAGCACAAAATAAGATAGCCTTTGTTGATGAAGATTTGAGGCGACGTACTTCATTAATTGGATAAAAGCAGTACCGGAATGGCACGCTAACAGTGGCTTTCGTACATTTCAGTCGTGCGATCCGATATAACCCGATAAGTAAGCATCTAAAAACGAGTAAAATAAAATGCTACTTCAAAACTGCGTATTCATTGAATACAATTTTTAATCTTGCCTTAAGCCGAAGCCACATTCAGGGATTGCGAATTTGCAGTCAATCAGCTCACTTTCGGAGTACTTGTACTTAGAGATGCTTTGAGCTACATAACTCCCAGTGATCCTGATTAGGTGAGGAGCTTTCCACATGGAATGTATCCACTGACCGTCAAATCACTGATAATATTGCGTGCTACAGTGATTTATTGCCCTACCATGTTAGTTATAACTAGCTACTCTAGAAATCTGTTGTCAAAGCTGGTAGTTGAGCCAAAAGTCACAGTCACCGACAAGTTCGACTCTCGCAAAAGATGAGCCCAGCCGTTTGCTCTATTCATCACGTTGTGGCTAACTGCCCTGAACCAACGGAATTCCGGCTCACATTCGATGCGAGCCAAATGATCCAACTGACATTTGGCGAATTTATTTGATAGCAAGTGGAAAGAACTGTGTGAGAGTAGTTGATAAATTTCGCGAAAAACATGTGAAAGGTCTGATATCATATTATGTCTTCGTTATATAATTTTGATTTATATTATATTCCCTCGGGTTAGACTGGGCCTCTGTTGAAGATGCGGTCCTATTTTGGGTAGTAGCTTGGTCTACATTCCCCCAGTTACTCATTTGTCCATCTTCCACCTCGGTCCACGCGACGTTTTGTCATATGAACGAAAATGGGCAAAGTCTAGCTAATCCCTTATGCTCCCTTGGTAGATTGATACTGACATACGAATTAAGAGTAGTGGTCAATGGTTTCCTAGGTCTGATTTATGTTCTAATCAAATAATGTAATTGTATGATGTAGTATTTCGTCAGGTAAGAAAAAGGAAAGATGAGAAACCTTAGGATTTGGGAATTATAGGCATATACTACCCACAATCAGGGAAGGCCTCATTAAGATCACAAGATTAGGTAAAAGAAGTAAGTAGAATTTCAGGTGGTTTATTATATTTGGTGACTGTTCGCAAATAATGGTTTCTAGCAGACGAAAGCTCATCACGAAGTCATCAGGGTCGTAGAATGATCTTCTTCGTACAATTCAGCAGTTAAAAGTCCAAAGCTCGGTAACCGGTGCGGCCAATTTAAGAATTATTGAGCTTACTTCCATTTCGAGCGAAAGTATTTGGTGGAGAGATTCGAAGGTCGATCCCACCAGAAGACGACGGCGGATTTCTCTTGACCGGTTTTCATGACTCGTTAGCTTAAATTTGGTTGTAACTAGGACACCTTTCTCTGACGATGTTCGTCGTATGACAGACGAAAGCTTAGCACCTTTTCACCGGAATCAAATGAGATCACCTCGGAAACGGCGTCAACAAAAATGTTCCAGCTGGTCGAGCGAAATCCCCCGTCGTCTTCTGGGGGAATCGACTTTTGAATCTCTTCACCAAGCACTTTCACTCGACATGGAAATAAGTTCAACAGTTGTGAAACAAGACATTCTCAATTTACGAATCCCTTCCAATCGCTTTCTCAAACCAGACAAAAAGTACGCCTGTATCATTTATATGATATGTATTTACCCAATTCTATGAGTAAAGCTAATGTTTCCATTGGATTTCACATAGCATTTGCTTCATCTCTATTCCCACCAAATAATGTGATATGGGAAGACGCCTGGCTGATGATAGTGTCTGAGCAAATAGATTTGTGGGTGAGTGCGAAAACGAGTGAGTAAGTGAATGAACGAATGAGAGCTGTATCGGTGAGTGATTGAATGGATAACGAGTCCTACTAATAGCATTGTGGGGAATTCGACTATCAGAACCCGTACTGTCTTACATGAAAACGGGTGAATAAACCTCATATACATGATCTACTGGTGGTCTCGAAAACCAACTCATAAACGAAAAGTGAGTAACGCAGTCGGTTGTTATAGCAAATATACGTTTGATTCATCGAAAATGCCACCAAGAATGTGAAATTCACATCTGCCCTGTGACCCAACGGCACTCCGGCAATGCGTCCGAGGTGTTAACGTGTCTGCACTGCCACGGTTCGACTCCCGCTGGGGGTGTTGCTAAGACCTGCGCGAGGTCGAAACTGAAGTCCACCCCGTGGGAAGAGTCTACTATCAGTCCTCCATCAACTTAACCGAAATAGGGTGAATAGACCTCACGTATATCTGCTTTACCGGTAGCCTCGAAACCGCGTTTGTAAAAGGAAAAATGCCACTGTCATGTTGCTAATGCTTCGCCAACCGTGAACCCACGTGAAGCTTCCGGGACGAGGTCGGATGAATGGCCTCCGGCGCTGGCTGAGGCTGGTACTTTGGTCCGAATGGCTGGCCTGAGTTGGCTCTTGCCTCCGGCTTCCCTTGGCCCGCCTGTACCTGGCTCGGGAACTGGCGCCCGGCCACAGGCGATTGGGCGTAGCCGCCGTCTCTCGCCCACTCGCCGCCGGGGCCGACGGTACCGACGAGCCTGGGCGGGAGAGGAAGCGGCGAGCCAAGCGCCTGGCGACCGACAGCCGCCCGGACTGGGGGTCGGAGGGCAACATTGTGCGGCTGCAGACGGGACTGGGCGCCGCTGTGGTGGGCTCGTTTGTGGGGCTCGGAGTAGGGCTCTTGCGCTTGTTCTGCGTCGGGTGAGCCGTCGCCGCGGACGGCACTCGAGTCATGCGACAGAAAGGCCGCTAGGCCTCCTTCGTCGGCGGCCGTTGACACGAACAGCGGCGAGAGGCGCGCTGTACTTTTGTCTTCGCGACTGGCGCCTTCCGGCGCCAGGGTCTCGCAACTGGAGCTCGCACCGTCCCTCGACGACAGCTCCAGCCATGGAGTCAGCTCGGATGGTTCGGTGAAGTAGAGAGTGGGATTGGCAGACGGGCTGGAGTGGCGGGAGGAGAATAAAATAGACGGCCGCATTCAAGAGATTAGGCGCGAGTCGCTGCCCGCGATGGGGTAAGGTCAGATGGTGCAATTTGCCTCGAATGCCTTCGAAATCGACTGGCAGCAAGAATGCATTTCAGAACAGACGACAAACACTAAGTGCATGATGATAGTGAACTTTTTGGGTAAAATAAAAAGTTGTGGCTCATTTCCTGGCTTTCAGTTATTTTCACTACCCAGTTGCAGAAATGTGCGAATGTGGAGTTACCGAGACGTATTAACCCTATTTTGTTAAGGTGCTGAAGGACTT